AAGGCAAATTTAAATACTTAATATACTGACAAAGGTGGGGTGAATATGTAGATGAAGTAAAGCATAAAGATAAAACTCAGGATAAAGATAAAGGAAAATATAAAAAATAGGAACGAAACGATAAATACATATATATATAATACTAGCAAATGCCCGCTTGCTTCGCGGCGCCTAATAAAAGCAAAAGCAGTCTGTAAACATTTTTAGTTTAAATTGAAACGACTAAAAAACAGAATCCTCCTCACACATATGCCAAGAATAGTAGCGCTGTGATTCCATATGGAATACTAATCCCTTTCGATGTAATGCGTTTTACCTATGGTCTTGTTTCCACCTGTGAGATCTCTGGCAAGCGTGCGCAATATTCTTCTATGATCCTGCAACTTCAGCATTGGTCCGGTGTACCATGTAAGCCAATAAAAGTCCTTATACGGAAACTCAAGAGCACAGATGAGCGTTTTCAATTATAGGAAGACCAAGAATCCTCGCTGCCCCACAGGATGAAAACTTTTCGCGTACATTGTGCATACTTAAACGCATCCTTTATTTAGCCATGTGAAAAGTAAATTCGTCTAAGATAAACATAGGGCCAAAGCAGAACAAACCCCGTGGGAGTTTCTATATATTTCGGGCGCAGCGTCATTGGGTCCCTTTTCTGCAACACCTTTGCTTGTCATGAAATGAATACGAATTATGAATTCCAATCAGATTTTATAAAAAATACGGATTTTCTAACTACCTAAACTCCAGCGGGTCCATTTTTAGCAAAGGAATTTTTTACACACAGGTAGTCACGCTGTGAATTTGAACGAAATCTGTTAATAAATTCGACTTTTATAAGTAACTCTACTCCGCGCCACCAGCGTGTTTTCTAGTAGCCTATAATATGACTTCGGACAATTTGACTGGGCTCTATTGAGTGGTTGTTGAGTTTAGTCCGAAAAAAAATTCGCAAAAAAAAATTCACGCGAAAATTTCGATCCCCCCCCCCCTGTAAGTACATGGAAGCAAAAAGCGAAAAGTGAACCGGTTCAGGGAAGAAGAAACTCATGATAAGGCTGAAAATGTTTCGAATGAAAAAAAAACATCATGAACGTAATAAACGTTTCGAATGTGTATTAACAAAATAGGTTCATAAATAAATAAAAATAGGTTTATAAATAACTCGACTCCAGCGCCACCTAGCGGGTCCATTTTACGCAAGTGCTTTTTTCACCATGCTTACAAAATAGGTTCATAAATACGCAAGTGCTTTTTTCACCATGCTTACAAAATAGGTTCATAAATACGGCTTTTATAAATAACTCGCCTCCCGCGCCACCAAGCAACTACGTTTTTGGTAAACGTATTTTCCATTATGCTGAAGCTATACATTTTGAATTTGAAAGAAATCGGTTTATAAATACGACTTTTAAAAATAACTCGACCACAGCGCCACCTACCGAGTTTTATGGTAGCCTATAATAGGACCATATATGCTAGGTATAACCTCTGAAAATTTGACTGAAATCTCTGCAGTAGTTTTTGAGTTAACTCCGAACAACGAAATTTCCCAATTTTTTTGTACAAAATTTGAAATTCGGACTTACGGACGTGGGCTTTCATACATTCATAAAAAAATAAGAAAAATTGCCAAAACTTGTTAAAATGTCGCGCCCCTATTTATTCACCCGGCACCGCATATACATATGTACATACATGAGGAATGTACTAAGATAGCGTGGGATTTCTGGTCTTACAATAACAGTTGCAATACATACTAAATAAATTCCAACGTCAATGTTTACCCTCGGCAACAGCAAAAACCCATGCGTGAGTGGGTCACGGTAGAACGGTTTGAGAACAAGCACCTTGTGTGCCCGGACACATAATGGGAAAGATCCATCCAGCTAGTTTTCATTCTCCTGTGAAGACGAACCCTGACATCACCGCAATTAAGGAAATGCAATGCGCGGGCTAAGGAAAGAAAACGTCCTTGTGACATGCAATCAAATTGACAAAGGATCGCTTCTATGCGAATTTGGAGGGCTCTTTTGAGTAGCCGCTCTTCAGGGTATAAAGAGCTTGATTGTTGATCTCAATGTTGGGGTGGTAAAATGAACGGATATGTAGTTGAGTGTCGACGTAACGCCAGACAATAGGCTACAGCTGAAAAAATATTCACTCAAAGCACGTTTTCGACATCGTAATTTGTTCAAAACACTGTTTTAAGACTTTCATGACTATATTTTATTCAAAAATTAAAACAATTTAGTTCTAAAAATATTTATGACTATTTAAAAGCACTTTTATACAAAATAGCTAAAAACTACTATTATAATACTCGAACTAACAATATTTATTGTTTTTTTCTAACTGCGAAGTTTTCACAAAGATCACTCATTTGTAGGTATGTATGTGTATACGCACACACATACGTACATAGTATATTTAATATATAGTAATAGCAAAAATGTGGTTCATTATGCTCTAAAAAATATCTGTGTGAAAAGTAAAAGTTTTTGGTCAATATCCTAGGCTCGCCAAAGTCCATCAAAGTTCAGGTACTAAAAAAAAATTTTTCTTAGCTAACTTCGATTCTCTACAAAAGAGGTCCATATACCTAATTATGTAGGACTAATACTTTAGAAGACTACTGCAATTTTAGTAAAAAAATGTATTACTTAATTAATTTATTTATTAATTTTAATTTTTTGGCCATATTGAACTTTGATGGACTTTGGCGAGCCTAAGATATTGACCAAAAATTGTCATATTTCACACGGATTTTCGGCCTACGCTAATATTTATGTATATAGACAAAAAAAAATAGTGGCAAATAATAGTTTACATAAATATTTCATTAAAACATAAACATGTATACATACGTACATTTTCATTTATTACCCTAACTTAAAAAATATTTTNTTACTGCAATTTTAGTAAAAAAATGTATTACTTAATTAATTTATTTATTAATTTTAATTTTTTGGCCATAATAGTGGCAAATAATAGTTTACATAAATATTTCATTAAAACATAAACATGTATACATACGTACATTTTCATTTATTACCCTAACTTAAAAAATATTTTACTAATTAACAAAGTCTTTTTACATAAAAATACAAACATATACGAACATACAAATTTAAAAATATATGAAAAGTAAAATTAAGAAATAAAAGCGATAAATATATTGTACATGTGAATGCTGTCAGGGCATTCAGCTTCATTTGTCTGTATACAAGTATACAAATTAAATTTGCAATTTAAATATTTACTACATACATGCATACATAATATTTTATGAACTGTAAAAACAAAAACAAGATTTGAAATTGTAAAAAAATATCGACTCTAAAAGCGATTTGCTTATGTAGGTAAGAATTTTATGTGGTGAAATTTTGAAGCAAAAGTTCAGTTTCTTTTTCAAGTCCGCTTGCCCATCGTTTATCGTTTATTGGAGGAGCACGCAAAAAGAGAAAATCTTGTCTTAAATATTTATACACATGGCAGCTGGCTTTAAATTAATATTGTTGTTGTTGTATTTTATAATTTTTATACCCGAGCGCACTTGTGCACAAGGGTATTATAACTTTGTTCACATAACGGTTGTTTGTAACAGGCAAAACGAATCGAGATAGATATAGACAAATGTATACATAAATGATCAGAATGAAAAGAGAAATCGATTAAGCGGTGACTGTCTGTCCGTCCGTCCGTCCGTCCGTCCGTCCGTCTGTCCGTCTGTGCACACGATAACTCGAGTAAAAATTGAGATATCTTAACGAAACTTGGTATGTGCACTTCTTTCGGGCGTAGGACGGATGGTATTGAAAATGGGCAAAATCGGACAATAACCACGCCTACCTCCCATATAACGGTAATTTTCTGAAATACGAAAACTGCGATATTTTAGTAACTACTGAAGATAATTCACTCAAAATTGATATTCATAATAAATTTTAGACGAAAAATAAGAATATTATAAATTTTTGGAAATGGGCGTAGCCACGCCCACTTATGGTTACATGTGTATATCTTGGTAACCGCTGCACCAATTTCTTCCAAACTTGGCACAGTTGTTAACCTTGGTATAACATACGAAATGGCCGAAAATTTTTAAAATCCGACAATAACCACGCCCACATTTCATATAACGGTAATTTAGAGAAATACGAAATCTTCGATAAATCAGTAATTATTGAAGCTAATTTATTCAAAATTGATGCTTGCAACAATTCTTTACCAAGAAATACGTTTATGACAAAATTTTGGAAAATGGGTTTATGATCACATATATGTATCTCGGTAACCGTTCAACCAATTTGTACCAAACTCGGTGTGGTTATTGTGCTTGCCACATAAAAGCAAAACATTCAAAATTATTGAAATCGGGCTAAAATTACGGCCGATTTCCATATAACGGTAAATTTTAGAAATGCTTGAAACTTCAATATTCCGAAATTTATGGACGCTAATTTACTCAAAATTGATACACCTCGGTTTACCATGTAGCGGTAGCTTTCGGAAAGGTGAAAAACATATATTTAATACTTGCGCCGGGTATTTAATGTTCGGCTCCGCCCGAACTTAGACTTTCTTACTTGTTNTTACTTGTTAAACTAAATTTTATTTTATATAATACAATAAAAATAAATACAATGCAACACTTATAAATACTATACGAATCGATTCATTCATTTGGTTTCGTCTTTTTTACATAAATCATACGATTCTTCATGTGTTCAGTAATAAACTAAGTTTTAAAAAAACTTAATTTCAAAAACCAAGAAATGCAACATTGGCACCTTTTATACAAAATTAAGTTAGGCTGTTTCGTTAAAACAAACGCGAGTTAAATCTACGATAATATGCACAGCTCAGTTCCCGCGCCTTTACTTGTGTGTGTGTGTGTGTGTGTGTGTGTGTGTTTGCGTTGTGTGATGATAAAGCCATTCGTTTCGTAATTATTGCAGCGTAAAATTTGTAAAAAAATATACTTTGAATGTTTTTTATCTAAAGTGTTTTTTTTTTTAATTTCTGTCAGTATTTAGGTTTTCTGCTTCTGGCTCTACATCATCTCGTGCCGGTCTTGTGGAACCTTGATGAACCAATGCATCCATTTCCTCCTTCTTCGCGCGCTTGAAGAATCCAAGCTGTAAATTACAAATATTTAAAATAAATTTAGTAAAAGAAAGCAAACGGTAGTAAAAAAAATGTAGGGAAAATATTGGATACATTTATGCCAAAAATGGTCTCGTTAGGTGGCGCCAGGGTCGAGAAATTTAGAAAAACCGTATTTATGCTCTGATTTGTTTCACATTTGGCATGTTTAGGTGAAACGTAGTAGAACATAGATTTGCAAAAAATGGAACGGCTGGTGGCGCTGATGTCGAAATAAAAAGTACATTCGGCATATAATGCATGTTTTCTTCCCGCTACAAAATTCTTTCAAGAACAATATTAAAGAAACGTTTTCAATGGAAATTTTAGAAACGTAACGCCAGGTAACGTCACGTCAGATAATTCAGCTGATTTAATATAAAGCGGCAAAGATTTCTACATTTCAAAACTTGGAAAATTAACCGTAATATTTCCAATATTACCTACTACAAAATCGTTTATACAAATAGTTTTGCCCAATTCGCAGAGCTTTGAAATTTGGCAATCGAAGTCAAAATCCACTTCTGGTTTTTGTAACGTCACGCCAGCGCGTAAGGTTAATAATAATATTTTTAAATCGCTACTACCAACAATTGTAATTTTTTGTACTGAATATGGGGCTATTTAATTGCTATGCATATCTAGAAACACCTTTTTAAAATTTTGACTTCGTCAATTCTTGTTTTTTAACATTTTGTCAAACGAGCGTTACGAAACGCCAGTTTGAAAATACCCATATATAAGGAGGTCAGATGGTTTGTGAACCGAGTCGGCTGGGGAATCGCTGGATATCCTTATGAATACTCATTTTCCAGGATGCAGGATCGACGGAATGAAAGCTATTTTCCAAGCCACTCCGATGACCTACTGGAGGAGATACTGGAGAGATAAAATATAAAATTTGTTGGTTTCCTCTTCTCACTCTTTAAATCATCGGATATGGACGGTGAGATATGGTCATTCTAATTTTTTTTTTAGAGCGTGCGTTTTACTAAACAACGTCCCGTTAAGCTGGTGAAAGAAGTTTTCTTCCTAAAACACGTTGATTATGCCAGTGCTAGAGATTTCTGGCCAATAAGCCTAATGTCCTTTGTAATCGAGAAATTTTTAGAGGCTCTTAGATCTGTGCATTAGAGACAAAACGTCCAATTTATCTTGCTCTCAACATGCGTACCTGAAAGGGAAGCCAACGAAGACTGACCTGCATGAGGTGGTTTGTACGATTGAGACTTCGCCCTACTACAAACAATAAGCATATAAAATACACACAAAACTCAGTGCGGTCGGCACAGCGTACATGCCGGAAAGATTGGCTTACCCTCTATTAGGTTCAGTCGCAGCTGCGAGGACCCGAGCTGCAAAGATACAGTCGAACACTGAGGCTTAAAACACTCTGTACATAATTCCTGCAGAATGTTTCTGAGTTCAGCCGCCTCTCTCTTTATGGCGTACTAAAATTCATTAAAGCCGCCAAATGCCTGCTGGTTTCATGCTCAAAAGAAGGTTAAATTGTTCCACAGAAGTTTTAAGCAGATAATTTTATTGGGGGCCACCAAACACGAAGAACTCGTTTGGGTTTGGGTAAGTGCGAAAGAAAGCTTTGGGATAAATACGAACATTGCAAATAGTTTATACGACTATAAGCATTAGGAAGGATTGATTTGCATTGGACGCAATATTCTTATTTATTAGAGCAAAGGTTGAGATACATATATAAGTATTTGAAGTAATTTTCCGGACCAAGTGTTTCTTTAGTACCCTTGGTTTTAATTTGTATTTCTTCTAAAGTGTTATATGTAAAGAACCTAAGTAGTGTCACAATAAGCGACATACACGAATCAAAAAGTGGGTCAAAATGGTTCGACATTAAAATAAAATGTCTTTCTCCAGGAAAAGGGCAACAAAATGGCGCTACCATATTTCTTGGGTACCACAACCAGCCTTGATGCATAGCTCTAAATTTTCTATTAGATCCCTAGACCTTCGAGCGCTATAGGCATACAATTACGTCGAAATGCTTCTATAAAGTTGATTACAATCAATAAATAAATAAATAAACTCACCTTATACATTCCGTAAGTCATTAGCGCCAATAGCAAGAGTCCACCCAACACGGCCAATATATACACCCATATCGGCGTACCATAGAGTTGATGTTTCGAAACAATATTATAGTCGATGCTCTTGCGTATCGCCAGCGATTTGCCATTAGAGTCACCAATCTTTTTCACATCCGCACCGATTAGTATAACAAAATATTCCCATGGTTCAATCAATATCTGATTGATCTCATTCAGATCGACTTGATATTTCATTGTCACCGTGATGGGCTTCTCGGGTTTGAAATTATAAACACGCATAACAGAGCGCACACAAATCGTCATCTCGGGATCATTGCAATTGAAAACGATCGTACGATTCACTGGCAATTTACCTCTTAGATCTTCACTTAGCAGTTCGTGCGCCTTGACGATACGAGCATACTGTGCTTTGGTCGCCGTATTGGCAGCAGCTTCACGACGTCTACGACGTCGAACTGATAAAGTCGTTGTGTCATCGGTATGGGTTGCTGAAAGATTATGGCAAAATGGAAACGGAGTAAGGAAAGAGTTCAACAGTTATTTGGCGATCTTTAAACTTACAACTTTCGCTTTCTACTGTCATTTCATAGAAGCTGTTGGAATCATATTGCGCATTAATGTGTTTATGCTTATTCGTCTTGGAAACTGTAGATGTGCTGTGCGTACTCGTCGATACCTCAATGGTATTCATGATGAGCTGTGTATTGTTTTGATAGTAATCGATGCCAATCAATTGCGCATCATAGACAGCCTGCATATTTATTTTATCCATTTCGATAATTTGTATGGTGTTCGTAGTGCCGGGCACCTTATACGCCACAGGTATATAGAAGATCACATCCATTGCTCCGATAGTGCTGGGACCGACGCTTTTTATCTGTTTAAAAGGGATATGTAAATTTGACATTTGTACAAATCAAATTAAATATCCGCAAACTCACCTCGTAGTTGTTAATGATTTCGGTAGTATTGCTGATCTTCTCCAAGTTAACATGCGGTGTTTTTGGTATGCTAAAAATATAAAACGCAACGTGTAAGTTAAAATCATCAACAGTTTTACGTTGGCTGTGATCAGCACATAAATTTTATGTGAAGTTTTTTCAAGCCAAAAGAGGTTCAAATATTTTCTTCGGTGTATATAAGACGGAATGCGTCTTACTTAACTTATTAAGAACTGGGAGCGATGTGGCACCTTACGCTGTCTGTCCTATCTTGAATTATATAGTCATTATAAATACGTATCTTCGACAGGGCTAATCCGAAAATGCTCAACGGTTACCTCGCTCACCATTTTCGCTTGCGCACCAACTACCGCAGTATCGACGTTCTAAGCATGGACTACAAGGCCTTATCGTACGTATTGCTTGAAAGGCTGCAGCCCACCGTCAACCAACCTATTGGGTCCTATAAGTGTAGCTTCCGACTTGGTAAACCAATTATGGACCACGTATTCACCATAAAGCAAATCTAGGAAAAGAGCCGCGAAAAGTTGCTGTTTACATTTAAAAGCTCCCTCAACCACCACAGGGAGTCTCGATGCTGACGACTGCTCAATAATGGTGTCTGGGATTGATGACTAGCAGGAGGCAGTGGACGAAGCTGCAGACATATCAGAACACGGACCGCGTCAGGATGCCTACTGATGTCGTTTCAGCACCACCATCACGACGAGGCACAGATGATCCCCGTCAGGGAGCATAACCTAATTCTCTGCAAGTAGTTCCTGGTAGGGTGCCACAGACATGGGCACCCGAATAGATAACTGCTTGCAGAAGAGTCCTCGCCAAGGCACGTCAGCAGGCGTCTCAACGAACTGACGGAGGTTCATTAAATAACCTCTGGACCCAACTGCATCCCTTAAACGGCATTCACATGGAGTCGGTCTTGAGTTATATATACTCCCGACCTGTGAAGGTCATTTTAGGCACACAACCACCCAACGTGGACGAGACAGAGCTTTGTCTGCCTTGAGAGACTCGCACCACAATAGCCCAACTCCGCTATGGCTACTGCAGTAGGCTAAACTCATACCTGAGCAGAGTGACTGCAGATGTGCCCAAAGAGTGTCCGCTATTCGGAGAGTCGCCACATGACTCACGCCACCTCTGCGCATGCCCCCAAAACCCCACCCAGCTACCGCCCCTGTCCCTATGGACAGACCCGGTGCAAGTTGCCCATTTCCTGGACCTCCCCTTAGCTAAGCCTGATGATAACGTTGACGAGCAATCCGACCCGAGTGGGGCGTGGTAGCCGCTACAACAACAACAATAACAAAATAAGGAGAAATTTCTACACTTCTCTTTCCTACACAAAATTATACATAACCCTTAGCACTCCTACTTACCCGACTATATCGATTTCGGTGAATTCTCCGAGTGTTATTACATCGGTGATCATGTTATTGGCTTCGTTAGCCTCCTTGCCTGTACTGAACACCTTGGCGGTTAGAATCACTGGTTTTCCCGATATGCCAGCAACATCGAAAATAGCAGTAAATGAGTCTTTGGCGCCTCTCGCTATTGCAACGCCATTATTCAAATCGCATTCTAAGTAGTCGTTATCTTTGATCCGGCAGTTACCAGGTATTTTGGCGAAGGGCATACGATTCGATGAAGTGA